CTGCACCCGCCTGATCTTCTCAACAGATATATCAATAACTGGAAGGACAGAGTAGGTAAAGACTGGCAACGGGACGGGCTGCGGTGACCCGTGATGAAAATGGCGCGACCAACGCATAACGCGCGTTGGAAGCTGAAACAAGCAAGAAGGGCCTAAGGGAGTGGCCATTGAAGAAAGCGTTAGACACGATGAAATGAATTCACTCATAGCTAATGGTAAATTTTTTGGTATAAAAGGCTACTCTAGACGACGCAACTGCCCTGTTTACTAAAATGCTCTTCAATGCGTCATTGCCGCATTTTTCATTGTAGTCCTGACTTTGCGCCGACAAACGTCACGCACTAGCTTGACACGCTGACATATAATATTTTTTGACATACTGACATAGAAAAAGATTTTTATTTAGGAATATTTAGCATACACAATAGCACAATTCATTTTATCCAGCATGCTGGATGCGCCCTTTCTGCATACAATGCTGAAACACGACTCTAACCTGACTTTCAGACATGCCACGGCTAAATATCCGACAGATCAACAAATTAGCTCTTTACTTGCTTTCTACACCTCTGAGAACAATACTGCACACAGGTGCGATAGACGCATTGACGACTTCATCATACTTAGGCTAACACAACCAGCATATTAGAATCGAATGCTATTAACTATTAACGCTGGAACATCGACAGCCTCACACTGCATATGTTCGCTGTTATACCAGCGTGCTGTACACTTGTTCATTTTGTAACTCACCTTCATGCTGAGGCTGCGGTACGCTCCCGGCTGCAGTCGGCGCCCGTCCTCCACTGAACAAAACTGTCCGCCTGCACCTATTTTAACCGTAAGGATCTTCATGCTGCCCTTGTGGCGTCTTTTGCATACTTTCCTCGAGGTCCGAGGCGGAAAAGCGCCATGGGAGCGCGCTGGACGCGTCACCCCGGTCACGTCCCCGACCTGCTGATGACGGCCTGACTCACGCTGCCAGCGGGCCGCCTTCTTGACGCCACCGTATACGGCCGCGATCGCTGACCCGTTTTAAGCGTGCCGTCTGTGTCTGAGGTGCGCGGCGCGCCCGAGCCCACAGCGTAGACGGGTCCGTATGGCGTCGCGCGGAGCCGGAGACGGAAGGAAGGAGAATGTCGGCTGGTGGAGATCGCTCTCAGGCCATCTGCGTCGGCGGAAATCACGAGTCACGTTAACATCCTTTTCCGCTGGAAGAGCTTCGTCATGAGGGGTCCGCTGGCACAGGCAGTAACTGGAGCGCTCTGATGTGCGCGTCCAGTGGGAAGGCGGAGCGGGAGAGGCACTTGGAAAGAAGAATAGATGACATAAAGTAGACACAACACGGTCGCTAAGTTTGTATAAATATCATGATACCATGTAAAGCCATACGGCATCACTCACATCACTCTTACCGTCACAGAGAAAATGAAGTGATTCAAACACCACTACATTTAATCTTGAGGAAGTAATACCTTGACATTCCAAGGTCAAACCGAGGTCGGGACCAGCCTGCTTTTTCTTGGGTAGTTTCTTTGTTGTTTTGCTTTGCGTTGAGGGGTAGTTTCTGATTCCTTTCACTCATTTCAATTGCCTTGCTAACAGGGACCGTAACAGACATCTTACGCGGACTTCATAGTCGTCGGTCACTTCATACAGTCGGCCACTGACTTAAAAAGACCTAGGTCGGCCTTTCGCTTTTAGGAACATTGCGCCTAGCGTAACCCTTGAGGCTTATTCAAATGGAACTAATGAAGACATTTTCGTAGGTTTTTCGTCACCTTGACATTCCAAGGTCAAAAAAGATCGCTGACCTAAATGAGAACCAGTGAACTTTTGCTTAGAACAGGTATCTAAGTTCCAGGTGATTGCATGGTGAGGCACGGAAATACCTCGCATTCAACCTGGAGCTTGATCTTGTTTGACCTTTTTAGTGCGGAAATGATAACATAAAAACTTCAACTTTAAGTCAAAGTAAATTGACAACAGATCAATCCACCCTGTCAGTTAAGTGTCTCTAAGCTCTCTTAGTTCTTGAGATGTCAGGGGAGAGTTGGCACCCACCCGAGCGTGTGGTATTCCATCAGCCACCCGGTCGCGTGCTAATCAGCAGTTTGTCAAAGTTTATTATTGACCTATCTTCACGGATGGCGCAATACCAAGTGTGCCTCACCCCTTATCTCGACATATAACTTCATGATCACATTTTTAGAAATATATGCTGACCATTGAATGCAAAGCTATTCCAGCCAATAGTTCAATACATTACATTCACCATGGTAACAGCCTCCTTTATTTTCTAAATAGAGGAACGTGGAGCTAGCTGATTCGTTTTACATGAAGGTGATCATCCAACTTCATATACCTTCCACTGCCAGTGTTAAAATATTCGGCCACTTGGGTGGCAACGATGTCCATATTTCTTCGTGTTATACACCCCGGCTTGGGCTCACTGCCTGTGCCCCCCCCCCCCCCCCTCCTTGCTCAAAATCAGCCAATCAGCATCGCGCCGGGCTGCTGTCAACCCAGCATCTAAGCGCCTTAGGCTGGACAATCGGGCTGAGCAGGTCAGATGTCTGGGCTTAAGGTCAAAGGACAACAAATTAGTGCCAGCGAATAGCGTGCGGGGGCCGCCAGAGAGTCAGGATTCTTTTAGCATGAATCCGTATTTACATCCTGCACACCCTACGGGGTGAATTTTGGAGCGCCATGGACGGCTGGCTGCAAGGGCTACGACCCGGTGATGTGGAATCACAATGACGACACGCTTAAACCGTATGCCGTGGATTTTCCCAGAACTAGTCCACAGTATCAGAGTGCCGTTCGCACGGAAGTCCATTTTTGCCAGACGTGGTTAGCGTTATTTCCCGCGAGGCTTAGTCGGACGAGCGCTCGAACAGTTTCCTGCATTCTCAGGAAATATTTACCGTGGATTAGCCGAGCTCTTCGTTTGGTTTTAACGCGCAGTGGTTTAACGTTCGATTTATGGAACCAACGAATGACGCGTTGTTTATGCCTTCACTAGATTGCAAGCATGTAGGCAACCGTGGTGGTGCTCGATGGATGTCTATAGACATCTAAATACCTTACGTTTGCTTGTTCGCTATAGTCGGCTAGCGCACACGTACGCTAGGTCATTATAATCATGGTTGCTCACACACACTAGCGCTGTAATATAGACACCCATCAGGCTTCATGTAGATGCTTCTAGAGATACTACACATTATCATGCGATGACATATGATGAGTATGATGAGCCTGCGTCAAAACTCTCATTATTTCGAACAGATTTCACTTTACCTACCATTCCATCCGCGTACGCCAAAACGGAGTTAAGACAACGCACTTACGCTTCAGTGGCAGCATTGTTTATAATAGCCCAGGTTAGCACAGAGCGCAGCCAACTGAACAAAAATATCGCCAGGCATATGCTGTCAATATTGTCACTCGTCAAACAGAAATATTGTCAATAAGCATGAATGCAACTTCTTTGCTCTACTTGCTCCCCTGGCAACTCAAAACCGGTGTTTGTCATGCCCACTGGCCGTCTCCCTGCCCAACGCCGACTTTGGACACTCAAAATGTTGAACCCTCTTCACATCGATTCATGAGACGACATGGGCACACGCGTGTAGGTTAAGCGGAAGAGACCCCAGCCGAAGAGACTGGTCCGTGCCAATGTGTGGCCGGTCCGGGATCATGCAAGCTGCGCTGCCTCATTCTGAACTTCAGTCACGAGCTTGGGGCATGAAAACGGCCGGAATGGAGCCGGGCAGTCGGAGGAAATTGTATCATTTTAAAAATATGTGCCCGCGTGCTAGTGATGCAGATCTGGGTCCTCCGTTCACTGATATGATGCGCTGACAGAGCGGCTGATATCCAATGTTAAAAGTCATCCTTGTGTTAAGCACACTCGTTAAGTCAGAATTACAGGCAGCTTTGTACCGATGTGTTGTTCGAGTCACTGTACATCACGCTGCTGAACTAATCGTGAAAACAGCGTGGTCCGTGCTTTGTTGTCCCGTATGCATCTGGAACGTCCGGTGCGGGATGTGCTAAGGTTAAAACATGCAGACCGTAGTTAGTGTTTGGGAACGTTGTTAAAGCTTTCATTAAGTAACTGAAAACGCTGGCTCCTGTAAAGTCGGAAAACTTGACCTCACAGAGTAGGTTTGCACTAGACACTCAACTGCAGCTTGCTGTTTTTGATACGCGTCAGAGAAGATGTGGACTAAGCAATGCAATGGATACTGTTTGTTGGCGTCAGAAAACCAGTCGAGATTTTGCAATTTAAGCGACAGAGCAGACTGCACGTGGAACGTTGCACGCTCCAGAGATATTCAATTCAAGAGGACTGTCCGGATAAAACTGGTGATGTACACATGCCTTTATTGGTTCCTTCAGATACAGCACAAACATTCCATTTGGCACATTGTGCATCCCAGTGATGGCCGATCCAAAATGGCCGTCAGGATAGAACTGGTTACCTGTACATGTCTTTTATTCGTTTGTTCATTTAGGCGGCAAGCTTGATGGCGCAGAAATACTCACCTGCATACATGTATGCATTGTACTCCACCTGCTCTACCTTCTCAGGCGCATAAAATATCATCGTATCGTGGGACCTTCTAAGGCCTTATGTCTGGCGTGCCTCAAAGAAATCGCATCACTTGATCCGTTCAAATCACACAACGCTTCATGGTAAAGGCGTAGGCTATTTCAGCCGGTCGTTTTAGCTCCCGAATAACTTGGCTCATCACACAGTGCCACGTCCTGTGCGTTGTCAAGAAATACCACATTTCGCGCGAACACAAGATCTCACCGCATTCTATCGTCTATTTAACCATCCACTTCAAGGATTGAAATGTGCGCTACCAACTGCATAAAGAGAAGACTCCTTCCGAGTGGGCTGCATCGTCGCTACCCATGCGCCATTCACAGTTTCCAGAAGTATTTTTTCTCGTGCAGCCAGACAGCCACCACCAGCCAGCAGAGCACGCCCAGAGGGCCTCGGCCAGCCGCCACAGGTGGCTGTCCATGGCGCCGTACTCCCACTGGAACGGGAACAGCTCGAACGCCATCATGTGACCCACGTACATCAGCAGCGCGTTCCTTCCTGAAACAGACCGTGGGGGAACAGTCAGCCGGCTTCCTGCCCAGAGCGGGCGGTGGGGGAACGATCACCCGCGTTCCGGCCTGGAGCGGACTGCGGAGGAACGGTCAGCCGGCTTCCTGCCCAGAGCAGGCCGTGGGGGGGGGGGAACGATACTCTGCGTTCCGGCCTGGAATGGACGGCGGGGAACGGTCAGCCATCACGGGACGGCACCGGCGTCACACCGAGAGGGATACATTTGAGCTACGATAGTTATGATTGTTATGAGGATGCTACGATATTTCAGATGACAGCGCAATTGTTGATGATTCGGCAAACGGAGAAGGGGAAGCGGTACGTAGCTGTGTCCGATACGCTGCTCAAATGCGCTGTATTTTCCGAAAGGGACGGGCGTGGGGCATGCGCACATGCATTCGGAATGATCTTACAGCGCTGCGTTAAGCCAACTGTATGCTCATTTTCGGGTGCTGTCAGGAAAGGAAAGCTTTCTTATAACTGAGAGGGGTTACAGTGTGGCTGTTATCGGGCCGAGTGGGCCGTAACCTGATGTGTACCTCCGAGAGAACCGAAGGGGGCTGCAATTACCTAGAGCTAACAGAAAAAGTGGTCAGTGCAACATTACCACGCAACTACAGCAACTGCTAAAGGGTTATGGCATGCCCTTCACCTCTGAAAAGTGATGAAGTGGCGTAGAATAAGCCATATGGAATGAAACCAGGTTGGAAAACATGAGCCGACACCAACGCACAACCAAACAATTTAATGGGTTGCAACTAGCAACAAAAACGAAGAAAGTTAAAAGTCCAAAAGACACGCTTCGATCCCGAACATCACGGCTCATGCGCTATGCGTGGATGTTATTGACACCCCCACACATACACACAAACACACCCACACTCATACTCACACCCACATCGCCACCCCTCCAGCCACACCCACTGACCCCCCCTGACAATTACCCTCCCATATGCATATATTTGGGGTGGTGGTGGTTGTGGTATACATACATATGTATGAAATTCCGTGTGTTGTACATAAGCTAGAGAGTTCTGTTTCTTTGTGCAGGGCAGCCAGATATGATTGTTAGTTTAGTACACCACTCAACCTGTCACGTCATAGCGTGGATTACCTGGATAGAAGAACGGGCTTCCGCTCCACCACCTGAGCACGTCCACGGTGACGTAACACAGAATCAGCAGGAAAAATGCAAAACTGGCCGTCAGCAGGGTATAAGAGAGCGACCTGGAAACAAACCGAGTTTGTGAAGCAGTCCTCGTTAGCCTTGAAGTCCTTAGCAGTCCTTGTGAAGCAGTCCTCGTTATCCGCACTTTGCAGACTCGAGACCACAAAACAGGCGTAAAATGTGGAGGACTTGCACTCCATAACTGGATTATTCCAGAGCTGATCGTCCTTTGGAACACACTACTGCCCCTACGACACGCAATGGAAGTGATTCTGGTCGGTCTGCAAGCCCCTGGATACGCCCCGCGTTGAGCCTGGTACCAGCGGCCGCCATACGGAGTTTTCGATCACTTGGGGCGGCGTCTTTACAGACAAGGTCGGCTACACGACACGCGCTGTGGCCATGTTCCCCGCTCGACTGTGTTGCAGAACTCGCGCTTCAGGAATTTCTCTCGGAGAGCTTTTCATTCTTCCGAAGAATGAATCCGCAAGCCAGTTACTGAGTTTTTTATGCCAGCGTACATCTCAATCATTACCAAGAAGGAAAATGATGCCATGTCGTGGGTAAATTGAGGGCTGTTAGAATGCCGACTGATACAACAAAACCACACATTCCATGACACATACTGCAATGACACTGACTGTTTCGTGAAACACTTTGAAACGGAATGAACGGAAATGTCACAGAACGCCGTTCACCATCGCTTCAGCCACCGCAAAGTGATGTTTGGAGTCGGATCTCAAAGTGTAGATGCGAAACGTTTTCCTATATACCTAAATTCTTACGTTTTTCCTCATGCGGCGACACGTATCAAGCTAAGTGTTGCCTGCTATGTTAAGAACAACACGGGAAAATGAAGGTAAACTTTGTCTGCGGCCGGACGTTGATTCCCCGGCCAGCATAACGCACCAGATGTTCTTGTTCACGGGGATGAGGCCGCCGTCCTGAGAGCAGCCGCAGAGGGCTGCGGCGGCGGCACCGGTCAGCAGGCCCCAGGCGGCCCAGCGCCGCAGCCGGGCCGGCCAGGTGCGGTACAGGTGCAGCGTCATGCCAGCCTGCACCCCCAGGAACACGCTCACGCACGACATCAGCACGCCTGCCGAGAAGGCACGGACGGGCCGTCAGCAGGCAGCGGCAGCTGGGTTTCAGTAAATGGATTAAAGAGTAAATGACCACACAAGGTTCAAGTTAGTCAGGTGTTTGAATAGATGCATTGCCTTCGCCGGTCTCCACTTACCTAAAAATCCCTCCGGGTCAAAGGCACCGGAACCGTAAATATGCTTTGCAGTTGGATTCTGATAGATATGCGCATCGCCTGCAATCAATCGGTCCACGTAACCTGCAGCGCCACCTATGCATGACCCCGGAACACTGGCGTTGTCATACAGACCACCAGGACCCAGGTAGCCCCTGAAAAGGAAATGTACAAGTGCTTTATCAAACCTTGTCGATGGCCTAGATATCTTGTGCTTGGATTTTCAATAAACCAGGCTCTTCAAGGAATCGCACCGCATTTCGGGATATTATTGCGTGTCGCACGGAAATAATGCGTTTTTGGCTCCATATTCATCGTGCATTAACAGTTTAGCCTGGGAGGTCAAGAAACCACTGACTACTAACGTGACGCTGAAAATCCGACGAGGGCAAGTGTGGGGCTCGTAAGGACTGGCGGATGGAGTGCGACAGGTCCGTACAGTACACATGCCGGGCTGTCGGGCGCCGGGAGGCAGGTCCGCCTGCGCCTGCCTACCTGATGAGGGACTGCTGGCACGGGAAGACAGCCTGACAAGCTCGTGCGGTGAGGAGACAGGTTCATGTGGTGGTGAAACAGCCTCGTGCGGTGGTGAGGCAAGCTCGTGCGGTGGGGAGACCGGTATGTGGGTGGGTGAGACAAGCCTCGTGCGGTGGTGAGACAGCCTCGTGCGGTGGGGAGACCAGGTTTATGTGGTGGTGAGGACAAGCCTCGTCGGTGGTGAGACAGCCTCGTGCGGTGGGGAGACCGGTTCATGTGTGGTTGAGACAGCCTCGTGCGGTGGTGAGGACAGCCTCGGATGCGGTGGGGAGACAGGTTTATGTGGTGGTGAGACAGCCTCGATCGGTTGGTGAGACAGACCTCGTGCGGTGGGGAGACCGGTTCATGTGTGGTGAGACAGCCCTCGTTGCGGTGGTGAGACCAGCCTCGTGCGGTGGTGGAGACCGGTTATGTGGTGGTGAGACAGCCTCGTGCGGTGGTGAGACAGGCTCCGGGGCGGTAGGGAGACCGGTTCATAGTCGGTGTGGAGATAGGCTCATGCGGTGGGAAAACAGGGCACGTACGATAGTGAGCAGGTCCGTGCAGTAAACGAACAGGATAGTTCGTAAGATGGGGGACGGTCTGTTGCGGTAGGGGGGGGGGGGTGAGGTGACTTCGTGCAGTGGATGATAGGGTCGTGCGGTAAGCGACAGCCTCGTGCGGTAAGAGACAGGCTTGTGCGGTGGGCAGACAGCCTCGTGCGGCAAGAGACAGGCTCGTGCGGTAAGAGACAGGCTCGTGCGGCAAGAGACAGGCTCAGACGGTGATGAGACAGGCTCAGGCGGTGGGAAGACAGGCCCGCGCGGTAAGAGACAGGCTCGTGCGGTGGTGAGACAGGCCTCGTGCGGTGGTGACAGAGGTTCGTGCGATGGCGAGACAAGCTCGTGCTCTGGTGAGACAGGCCCGTGCGGTACTCACGTTGGACAGCCGGGCACTGGCAGGTAGAAGGTGACAGCCGTGTGCCCGGCCACAATAGCCAGCGCCAGAAGCCACTGCGGCCACAGACTGGTGACGTCACAGACAGCGGCTCGGATCCCGCCACCCTGCAATCAACAGCCAATGAATGCACCCCAGACGGGCCCTCCAAAATCCCGCCCAGCTGGCAGCTAGCGGACAACGCCTCGTCCAAGCCGAGACAAGACAGCTCCCGACCTGTATGCAATTGAGGGTTTACGACGAACCCAGCTGCTGAGGCTACAAGGCGTCGCCTCTCACCCGGGCAGGAAGGGCGAGCACCGCGGGGAATCGAACCCCGTACCCCTGGTTTCCCAGACCAGAGGTACGGTCTCCCCCTCCACAAAAACCTCTGCGGTAGCCATAGATAGCTAATCGACCACGCTCTGTCGGTTGTGGCGCCGTGCAAAGCCCGAGGCTAGAAGGAGGGTGGCTATTGGTGCACAAGAACTCTGCCCATGCCAGATGAGGCCAGCTTTCTCATTCATAGCTGTTATTGAGAGTTGCTTGGAGTCGAACTGGAGCGAACCTTTTGCAGCCGAGGGCGTGTTCCCTTGACGGCACCTCCTCAGAGCGCGAACGCCCTAGTTTCAGCTCGCACGCGCGGGTGCAAAAAGACCGGGCCCTCAGTTTCAGCTCGCACGCGCGGGTGAAAAAAAGAAGGCCCTCAGTTTCAGCTCGCACGCGCGGGTGAAAAAAGACCAGGCCCTCAGTTTCAGCTCTCGCACGCGCGGGTGAAAAAAGACCGGGCCATCAGTTTCAGCCCGCACGCGCGGGTGAAAAAGACCAGGCCCACGCACATTAGCACAGAATAAACACCTAGCAGGCTCAACCGCTTTCTGGATCGTCTTCTGTAAACAGAGTCAGCCATGGTGAATCGTGTCTCCTCTAGAAGGTCTTATCTGCCTGACAAAATTTCTGAAGGAGTGCAGGCGCCACCAGGCTTCCTCCAATATGGGACGAGTAGAACGAGCGATCAAGCAAATGCTAGCTTCCACCGTCCGGGCTTGCGACAAATATTGGCTGCAGGCCCCACCAAGACAACTGAACACCGTCTTCCCACACATCTGACAGCTCAAAACCGCAGACGGTCGAACACCATCTTCCATTCCTATTACGGCTCAAAATCCCTGACGGTCGAACGCCATCTCCCACACATATTACAACTAAAAAACCCAGACGGTCGAATACCATCTCCCACACATCTCACAGCTCACAACCGCAGACAGGTCAAACACCATCTTCCACACATCTCACAGCTCACAACCGCAGACGATCAAACACCATCTCTCACACATCTCGCAGCTCAAGACCGCAGAAAGACCGAACAGCATTTCCTACACATCTCACAGCTCGCAGCCACAGACGGTAAAATGCCATCCCCCTCACATCTCGCAACTCACAACCGCACACGGTCGAACACCATCTCCCACGAATCTCACAGCTCCCACCTTGACGACAGATGTGATGGTGGTGGGTGAAACAGAACTCGCACCAACCAAACCTTCAAGCGGGGGCAGGGCTAAACAAAGGGATGTTGCCAAACCCATCCAAAAAATACACTAAAGAACATATCCATCCCCGGCTTGGTCCCATTTTCCCCTAAATAAGTGAAAAGAGACTGAAGCTCCCAGCTGAAGAAGAGGCTGCTCCTCTGAGCGAAGGATTCCATTCCAGCTTAAGATTCCAGCCTGAGAAGCCTCTCCAGCATACTTTATGCCAGTTAGCTGAAAAACCTCACTCACAAGAATACACTTCACTGAAATTGTAGCCTTCTCTGAGGTAAACCAAAGGCTATAAAATGCATGGTACTATCTTGACGTGCCTCATAAAAGCTGTACGCAAACTGGAACACCAAAGCGACAAAAGACTAGCGTAAAATGCCTGGGACCCTATGGGCTTTGATGCTATCTCTCCAAGTCCTTTGCAACCAATCTAAGCATCCATCAGATCACCGAAAGTCAGGTTTTCTAGTCATTGTTAAAAAGGCGTCTTCAGAAGGCTCGGTCTAGCCTCCCTCCAAGGAACGGGCCTGGCGAGCATCCGGAACCCACCAATGTTCAAGGAAACTATGTACGCGATTACATCTACGTTATACAGCCGCTAGATCGTTGGAAAGCCCGATGGCACTGTCGGCGGTGACTGACCTCGGGCAGTCGGGGCCGGCGAGCCATGGCGGGTAGGGTGGCCAGAGCCATAACCAGGTAAGTGACGGCGAACCGCTGCAGCACGCCCGGTACACGGTACGTCTCGAGGCGCATGTAGCCGCCCAGAGAGTTCAGCACCACGCCGATCAGCAGCAGCCACCAGGAACGCTGAAGGTCAGGCGGATGTCAGCCACAGCCAACAGGAGCGCTGAAGGTCAGGCGGATGTTAGCCACAGTCACCAGGAGCGCTACGGGTCACACGGATATCAGCAAGCAGTCACCAGGAGAGCTACGAGTCACACAGATGTCAGCCACAGTCACCAGGAGAGCTACGGGTCACACGGATGCTAGCCAGCAGTCACCAGGAGAGCTACGGGTCAAACGAATGTCAGCCACGGTCACCAGGAGCGCTACGGGTCACACGGATGTCAGCCACGGTCACCAGGAGAGCTACGATCACACTGAATGTCAGCCACAGGTCACCAGGAGCGTCTACGGGGTCACATGATGTCAGCCACGGTCACCAGGGAGAGCTACGGGTCACAAGAATGTCAGCCACGGTCACCAGGAGAGCTACGGTCACATGGTGTCAGCCACAGTCACCAGGAAGAGCTACGGTCACACGGATGTCAGCCACAGTCACCAGGAGAGCTACGGGTCACCTGATGTCAGTCACAGTCACCAGGAGCGCTACAGATCACAACGGATTCAGTCACAGTCACCAGGAGCGCTGCAGTCACACGGATGTCCAGCCACAGTCACCAGGAGCGCTACGGATCACACGGAATGTCAGTCCACAGTCACCAGGAGCGCTACGGATCACACGGATGTCAGCCACAGTCACCAGGAGCGCTGCAGGTCACACGGATGTCAGCCACAGTCACCAGGAGCGCTACCAGGTCACACGGATGTCAGTCACAGCCACCAGAGAGCTACGGGTCACATGATGTCAGCCACAGCCACCAGGAGTATAGCTGTGACTGACATTAGTTAACATCCGCTGACGTCAACTACAACTGCCACGGCAGCTCACTCGAGGTTGCAATACACTGGTGTCATGAGGTGCAGTTCTTGGGCAATCCAGACGGCAGTGATGCTCCGTATTTAGTTCCGGGCCGAATTGTAAAAGCTGTTGAGGTTGCTGAGGCTAATATTGCTAAATGACAGCGTGTTTTATATCACGAGCTGAACCGGCAACATTTTTCGTATCGAGCTTGTGACATGTCCAGTCCTCAAGTCCTCGGCCCATGCCGTGATCATAACAAACTCGCGTTATCTCTGCACGTCTCTGGCGTGTCATTATTGGATAGTTTTGCATTCTATGGCGAAAAAGCATGAGCTTCTCATGCTTGCGAGGAGTTAACCCAACTACGTATGTATGTATACGAGACATTCAGGCCTTTTGCTTAACACATGAACTCACCTTGAAAATGTGGTAAATGATTTTGGTCATCGATTTCTCCTTCCGAATTTGCGATCCGAGTGACAAAGGTATGCAAACACCCATTATCCACATAAACCTGGAAACACCCATGCCCATCAGTAATTCAAGCGCTTGCTAGTAGTCATACATCAGGTACGTCAATGGTCATCCCCTCATTTGCTGGAAATCACGAAATGTATCTAACAGAGGGCATGGCCGAAACTACACATTTACAGTGCACGATGCACATACCACGTATCCACAAAAAATGCATGCCTGCTAGTTCCCACCATTTGCGACTGTCATGCAAGCGAATCGCTTCAAACAGGAAACGGCTCGGCCGCGTAACTGTCGCATGGCCGTCCGCGCGTGCGCCTTACCAGGGGAAGACGAGGTCAGCCACGAGCAGGCCGTTCCAGGCGGCGTGCTCGAAGAACCAGTACTGGCCCTGCCACTCGTTGACGAAGATCATCAGCAAGATGGTGATCCTGACCCACAAGACAGCGCCGTCATCAGATCGAGGTGTCGGGGCTCACGCATGCAATATTTGTTTGAAGTCATTTTAAGAAAAAAATCTGGATTTTGAAATTTCAGTACATTTTGTAACTGATTCAAGGCTATCTGCGTGCTGTGCTTGACAAAGAAAGCACTTTTAAGGCCGATTAAAGGGCTTGGACTGGACTTCAGTCTAACTTTGAGAGGAGTCGGGTGGGGAGTTTCGGGTGAGGAGTCGATTGACCGCTCACAGGTTTTTCCATCAAAATGTCCGAAAGGTCTGACGTAGCTACGCCAAATTTTGCACAGCTGTAGGCAGTTCAATAGGGAATCGTTTGTTTAAATAAAACTAGCTACACCTTGTAAGGTCACTGGCCTATGGCAGGTCAAAGTCAGGCCGTGGCAGTCAGCGAAAGTTATTTCTAGGGGAATCGTTTAATCTGATGCGGCAGCGGGGAGGTAGACGAAGTCATGCATCTCTGAGATGGTTAATTAGGTCACAAACCAATTAAATTTATAATTGCAAGAAATTCAATTGTCATATTGCCAGGTGCAAAGGCAAGACCGAAGTTAACACTGACCTGGATGTCTGCTCAAAAGTTTGCATTGTGTGGTACTTTCTGGTACTCATTTCAAATTCACTCATGACAGTGACCGTTCACGTTCACGTTCACGTTCACACGTTCCATTAACTTTTAAAGGTCAGAGTAGGTCACTGATCTGAAATAACGCAGGTCAGCAATTTGTGTTAGGAATGTACCACCCAGCGTATTCCCCGACGCTTATTTGAACGCCAAAATATGAGCAATCTCGTAGGTTTTTGGTCACCTTGACCTTTTGAGGTCAAACGAGATCACTGACCATAAATGGACGCCATGAACCTTTTGCGTAGAACGGTTAACGTTGGTAACATGAGGAGGTCTGAGGCACTTGTCAGTACTGGTCACACAGTCAGTACACACACACAGTCCGGAGTCTGACCTCTTTACGTTATTTAACCCCGAGATCATGACCTAGCAACCTCCAATTTCGACACGAGTGATTTCACATGCGTGCAACTCACCCTGTGAATTTGTTGTTTCTGGTTGTCTTAGTTTTTGTGATCTTGGGAACCCAATTGACCCCCTCCCCGCCCGAGCCAAGGGTACTGCCTCGGCCACCCGGGCGCGTGTTGGCTTCAGAGCACCCAGCACGCAGTTCAACACAGCGAGACATTAACTCTCCGAAAAAGCGATGAAACAACACACATACTCTGTTGCGCAGTGGCCGTGGTCCAGCGACCATTATGTTTAGACGCCGTGCATAACCCCCCGCGGACGTAAACCCTGACTCGGATACTAACCCTCTGAACACGTCAAGCGCGGCCAGCCTCGCTGACTTCTGCTTCGAGTCGAGCCTCTCGGGAAGCTCGCCAGATGGCAGGTCAGAGCCGTCGTTCCAGCAACGCCGGAGTCTGGCCGCGACGCAGGACCATAGGCCGTGTATCGTTGCTAGCACGAGCAAGACCACGGCAAAAATCCACAGCGCTGCAGAAAAAAACAGGCCGCGCCGAGTGACGAGGGTTCTGATGCGTATCGAGAGCGGCTGCAATGCCATAAATGGCCAAAGCTTCGTGACAAAGCGAGGGGAAACGTTGCGCTGTTCTTGCTGGACTTCCCGTGTTGCAGGTGTATGTCACTGCTGTGAAGGCTTGTCGGCTCTCTTGCAAGTATTCTACACCTCCCAGTGATATGATAGAGCGATACGAAAACGGATAAAAAAGGCAGTTAAGAAGCATTCGCGACAAAGAATGGCGTGCTCCACAACTGTACAGTGAAAAGTATTTCAAGGGCACACCCAACATCGGATAAGTTCCTCATGCGTGACAACAAAAAAAAGCAAGAAGAAAAAACGGAGCCTCACAGACTGCGTGCCGCGGGCCTTTCATCTATCACAATCCATTCATCATAGAAGGCGCATCGTCTAACCTTCTGCAAGCAGGGCCCCGTTCGAAGGAAATCAGATTCACGCATTCTGGGAAGCACGTTCACGCTCTCATTGTGGTAATCAGAGTAAGTTAATTTCGGCCATGTACTCTAGCTGAGAGCAACGTACCCCAACACCACCACGGCACGGAGCATTTTCAGACACAGTTCCTGCACGAACTCTCCTGCCGTTCTCCCTGCCTCTCCCAGTGTGATGACCTGGCCTTTGAACCGTGCTGTTTTCGTTTTTTGAAGCTGATGACATGCTCCCGGCCATATCTCGCGCGCGGCACACTCACGGGTGTAGATGTTGTTCGGCTGCTGGAGCGTGCTGAGGGTGCAGTCGGACGAGCTGACGGCCAGGCTGTAGACGCCCCTGTCCCCCAGCCCGGCATGCAGGGCACACAGCTCATTCCTGCCGAAAGGTGCACGGCGTCGTCAGACAGTGCGACCTCACGCCAGGGCCTCAGCGGCGGGGCGATGGTGGCGAAACGTGCGTCACGAGAGCTTACGCCTGCTGTGCACGGCTGTAGGGCATTGAGCACCAGCACCAACAGGCGGCTCGTCCAAACCCAGGTGCAGTCAAGGGACGCCAACAAACCATAGTGCGCAACACTACCAAAGCAACAAGCACAAGTGCAAGTGCTCAGTGCAACAAAACATGAATCACTTTGTACACAAAATTGCGAGTATCTGTGGGAGTTTGAAAGTGTCATTTTTTGCAGAACATAAAGCTGCAAGTTAAGGTGAACATCATAATAAGGCCGATGCTTAAGTGCGCCACTCCCGTAGCAGTGTGGGATGTCGGGCTGCTTTGTGTGCAAGATGACTAGGTGCTCAAGATCATTCGGTTATTCAAACATCGTCTGTATGATTACTTGTCTGAGTCTACGGAGGACACGTATTCGGCGTCGCTGTTCTTAACCGCTAGCATCCATCCTCGTTTAGTGTTGAACTTGAAGGTGTAGTTTTGACCCGCGTCAAGGAGTCCCAACAGCTTATACGGACACTGGAACACGTATGGGAATTAGAAACATGTCGCGCATAAAGCAATGCTCTACAAGTCCCACGGAATCGTACAGTTAACAAAGATCCATGGCAAATTCTGCTCTAGTGACAAAGGCACACAAATGCCAAACATTGATACGTCAATGCTCACAGGAAAGTCCACAAAAAGAGAACAATGCATATCATGCGCTCTGAATTCGGCGGCACCCAGAACTTTTGTTGCTTCAGTGAGTGCGACAAGAATGTTTCGGCCACAAAAACCAACTGCCGGAAGGCATGCAGTCATTTGATCGCGTGGTTCTCAATGTTTCAACAGTAAGTGCAGCTGTTTATGGCGACGCTTGTCTTCCAAGCTGCACCTAGCATCGCCGCCGCGCAGCCAGCGGCCAGCGGCGCTGCTCGCCGCACAGCGCGATGCTGGGCCCAGCAGAGCGGCCGCCAGCCGTGGCGTACCCTGTAGCAGTCATCGCTGAGCCGGTACAGGCCCACACGGGTGTCAGCAATGCTTGACAGTACGCTCAGCAAGGCTTCGTCCAGGCCCAGCATCTCCGGACTGACACCGGCTGATGACGACCCCATGGTGGCGCTGCGCATAGAACCGTGCCGATGTCAAACGGGTAACAGTGCGCACACTCCATTCCGCTCATCACAGGAAATCATGTAACGTTCACGCTTCTGAGCACGCGCACGGACTCATGCATGGCCGCCTCACAGCTTACCACTAGATTGTCAGTTCTGGTCCGTTCGCTTTTTGTCAGTGTGTGTCACGTCCGCTATGTCTTTGCAATCTGCACGTGGAGAAGGTGATCGTCAGTTGTTCATTAAAAGCAGTCAGTTAATCTTAAAAGTGATGGGACCCGTTTGAAGTGGTAAGAACGCCTGCTGGTTGTTCAAAGAAACACCATTACCCCTGCCACTTACACCATCACTACCGTTACAATCATCACCATTATCATCCTATCATAAACACGAGTATCATCATCGCCATTGCCATCACCTTAATAATAGTAATAGCAACGACAGCAATACTACCACTACTACTAATAATGATAGTAATGATTCTAATCAGCATCATCAACGGTATTATTCTTATAATACCTCCTCTTCTTTTTATGATAATAATAATAATGCTAATAATAATAGTAATACTAACACCAATACCAATACAAGTACTACTTATAATTATTATCATCATCCTCATCATTATTATTATCATCAGAATTGCCATCGGAGGCGGAAGGCGGGTCAACATCGTTACATTAGCGGCACCATACATCGCAGACATACGCTCAAAGCACACCAATATAGACCAAGGTGCTCAAAATTGAGCCAGGAGCACACCTGCCCAATTTTGGTGTCGCCATTACGCATGGTCCTTATCTGTTTGAGGTTATAAAGGTAAAACGTGTGATTTTCAGTGAAATTTGACTCTGAACCTGGCAAAAGGGAGTCAATTATTAATCTAAAGACAAATCAACAGGTACCAGTCGCGAGAACTCGTTTGGGACCATTCCACTGGTGTTTTTGGCTAAGCTCTATCTGTATTACTTTGGAAACGTCAGGAGGGGGGAGGGGGCATCAACTCCCCCCGTCAGTCCGCGTCATGAATAGCGACGAATCAGGACGAGGGTTACCAAGATAAGTTGGCGTGTTGCGCGACATGTGGACCCCGGAAGTATGGCCTGTTCGACGCATGTGGGTTTGTGGACCCACAGACCCTTGTTTACAGAAGCGAAATATGTGATGTGTCAAAAACCGGTGACTACAGTAAAGTACGATCAGGAGATGTATGTAGCGGTTGAGCACGAATACCAAAAAATGAAGGCAATGGCGCCAAAAACATGCGTCCAGCGGGACATGCCAATAACAGCACAGATTGAGGTCCTCACTTTCTCCCTAGAATGAACAGGTGACTGCCAGTCGATACCTCAATCATAACCTTCGACGATGTGAACCTCCCGCACGGGCATATGGTCAAACATGTTGGCGGTAGGCGCCTGCCTGTGCCAGCTGGCGGCAGGTGCGCCGCTGCCATGCAGTAACGTAACACAGCACAGACAGCCTGTTGCAACGGATTCACACTCCAGCAAGGACCGAGAATGAGCAGCGACGTTTGGTGCCTCACTGTGAGAATTACCAACGGAAGATACGCAATTCTCGCATAGAGGGAGCTTGTTACCGATTTGTCTGATAGAGGGCCCAATAACCGCCTTTTATATAGGATCTGAAAACAGAGGCATTGTGCGAATGTCCCAAATTCGAGCGTGACAGCCATAAGCCAGCGTGCACTTCATCAAAATGAACAAAATTAACTCGATCATGAAATTCTTTCACTGCAAGCACATTAGACCAAACTAGCATTGAACAAGTCAAAAGTGTTGTTTCTATGGGTTTTGTTGTCAAACGTGACCAGTGACAACACTCCAATGCAACAGAAACCGCCATTTAAAACAACACGCTTGACATACGCATAGACAACGCGCCTCCTGATCATAGAAATCAAGCCTACTCAGCGTCGGCGTACTCACCATCAGCGCAGTCTGTCTTCAGGTGAGAGGGGAGGTCGGGGAGGGGGGGGGGGGGATAACGACGGCCACCCCTGTGACCAGTCTCACCTGCCCTCTCGCTCAGGGGCGCGCGTCTTTGTCCGTCCGCGACGTGTCACTGGCCGTTTCTGGTCCTGGATCTGACACGCTTCTTGCGCCGCAGCCGTCTCCTCACCCCCTCGCCGGCGGTTGAATGGAAGTACGTGGGGCCCCACCAGTCCAGGCGCCTCCCCAGCAGGTCAGGGTCAAGTCAGGACGGAAAAACTGAATGATGGGGTTCTCGAAGGCTGTCAAATGGAGGCTCTCTCCCTCCTCTCTCTCTCCCTCTCTCTCTCCTCTCTCTGTCCTCTGTCGCTCTGTCTTTCCCTCCTTTCTCTCCCCCCCTAACGTGTGGTGTGTGTGTGTGTGTGTGTGTGTGTGTGTGTGTGTGTGGTGTGTGTGTGTGGTGTGTGTGGTGTGTGGTGTGGTGTGTGTGTGTGTGTTGGTGTGTGTGTGGCTGTGTGTGTGGTGTGTGTGTGTGTTGTGTGTGTGGTGTGTGTGTGGTGTGTGTGTGTGTGTGTGTGTTGTGTGTGTGTGTGTGTGTGTGTGTGTGTGTGTGTGGGTGTGTGTGTGTGTGTGTGTGTGTGCGCGTACGTGTGTGGTGTCGCTCTCTCTCTCTCTCTCTCCTCTCTCTCTCCCTCTCCTCTCTCCCCTCTCTCTCTCTGTGCGCGTGTGTGCGTGTGTGTCTCCCTCTCCCTCTCTCTCTCTCTCTCTCTCTCTCTCTCTCTCTCTCTCTCCCTCTCTTTCTCCCTGCGTCGGACGATTGCAGCACTTACTCCTGAGGTTACTGCGCCTCCGCCGGCACGCTAAGCACTGCTACAACGAGCGAGCCTCAGTAAGATCTCCGTGCCGTTCAAAGGTACAGTGGAGCGCGCTAACGTTTTAGACAGTGTGGTCAACCAATTTTGGCCATGAATTCCCTTTCCCCATTTCTAGAGGTTCCTGGCAGGCAGGATATGCCGTTACCAGAAACGCTATTTTATCCATCATATTTGTTTTGCCATGTTTCCAAAGGCCTTCACGTTGTGATGAAAATTAATTCCGTCATCACTCACTGCACTCGTTTCGACGGCCAAAACGCCAAAAATATGTACCACAATGGCTATCAAATAAGGCGTTGATGGCATCTATATCATACAACTAAAACGACAAAAGATGCTCTCACCACACATTAATCCCACGATCGGCACGGCAAAAGCGTTTCCCCAATGAGATTGTCAGCACATCTCTCACTCAGCACTCATTATACAATTTTTCCGTAAGCTTTATACACACCTCCGGGACACTGACATTTCCGGGGCAACACCCATTTGCTGTAACAGCGACATTCTGGCTACCGTCCTTTTTATCCTAACCTTCTGTAGCTTTTTATAGCGAAGTTCTCTTTTAGACCTGGCCGATTTAAGTTTCCTTCTCTTGTTGATTCTTCTTGAGCAGGATAATTTCTTGGACCCTTGCTGGTGATCGGGGAGGTAGGGCGAATATCTTTGGGGGGTTCAAGATCGGTCGTACAATGACAGCTTACTTTCGGATTGTGAACCGTCAAAAAACACCATGGGATCCGGGATATGAGTGGGGGATGGGTGTTGTCTTTAGTCGATGAATATTGAGAACAACGATCCAAGCAAGAGAAGCAGGATCAGGGAAGGGAGGCAGGGCAAGCCTCAGGGATTTGGGCACAGTGACATATGTGGCAATCTCAACAGACAAAAAAAGTATCTTTTTCCTGCTGGCAGTGGTAAGAACAAAACATTTCTATTTTTTGCCTTTTATTTTTTAGATAGTCATGAGAACCGGGTTTGGTATTTCACTTTTGTCTGAGGCGAAGCGGTCGGCTGGGCTTTCCGAGCAGTTACACGCCGTGTATGCCAAGAGCCGAGTCCCCTGCCGGTCAGCCCAAACACAGGAGTGATGCCAGTAAATGAGAGCATTTTTCAACGGATTTCAGTAGCCGTACCTGGTCAGGGAGCCAGGAGATGCTTCAGCGCAGACGATGCTCTTGATGCTGATCCGGGTCAGAGACGCCGGTGGGTCGCGGCCGCCTCTAATGCCTCGGTCTTGTTCATGCAAGAGGGACGGGTCTAACACCAGGTTCTTCTGCAGCGCCCAGCCACTGCCAAGAGGTCCAAGGAACGGGAGGCCAGGATGACTGTCGGGCGTTGAGAGATTGAATGAGTGATGATGAGTTGGAGTTTTAGGGCGCACAACGGTAAATGGTCATGCAGCGCCCATAGCTGGAGGAGGGGGGTGCGGGGGGGGGGGGGGGGCAGATTGAAGGCCTCGGACACGCCCGTCTCAGTTCGTATTCACCTGCAGGTGATCTCCGTACCCAAACATACAGGTTCAAAGAGCGTTACTCCAATATAACCCTTTGCCATGCGCTGATCTAATGAAGCATCGTGCGTGTATGGCGAAGATGCCGCAGTGATGAAGTCGACAACAGCTGGATTGTGAGCGCGCTCGCAGAGCCGGTTTCGAACTGCAAATTCAAGCCAAAATAACCAGCAACAAGACCAAAACTGTCTTGTGGCAAAAGGGGGCGATGACCTTACCGCCAATGCAGCGGTGACAGCATCAATAACGCTCGCATCGTGAACTGCATTGAACACCAACCGCCCGCGACGCCACGTAGTTGCTGTCGCTTTGCCAGCGTTGATCTGTCGCGACAGCCGCAGCCCCAGCCGGTCCTTTCTCCCAGCCCTGCAGATGACCTTGAGCTACACTGACTGAAGCGCTGCAACGGTGACCCACTGCAATGTTGCAGCAGGACCTCGCCCGTGCTCTCGATGCATACCACGCCCAAAGGGCAGCGACGCTTCCAAGGTTCGAACACACGATCGCGGGAGGTAAGCTGCTTCACTGGTCATGTTGCGCAACAGCCTGCTGCTCGGGTTTGGCAGATCAGCTTCTGCTCGGCTTTGGCAGATCAGCTTCTGTTCGGCTTTGGCAGATCAGCTTCCACCCGACTTCGGCAGATCAGCTTCCGCCCAACTTTGGCAGATCAGCTTCTGCTCGGCTTTGGCAGATCAGCTTCCGCCCAACTTTGGCAGATCAGCTTCCGCCCGGCTTTGGCGGATCGGCTGCTGGCCGGCTTTGACAGACCAGCTGCAGCTCTCAATGTCTCAGCTTCATCTGAAGTAACGCTCTGCTCTATGCGGTAGGCTGCGGACTGTTCAGTCGGTTGGGAGAAGCACCTGCCTCTTTCGCTAGGAAAGCAAAGTGCGCGTCTTTCCCTCTCACGCTGGTTGTCTTTCACGTTGCACTAGGTTTTGACTTTCGTTTACATTGACCACGTCTATGGATCTATGGCATTTTGAACTCACCTTTAGTTCAGATCACCATATTGCCGGTCGACTTGAGGCTCCGCTGATGCTTTGCTATCGCTCCAAGCGAAACTGATTGTTGTAGTCACTGCGTGGTCTAAGATCAAGTTTCGGGTAAACCTGTTTTATGCCATGCAGATTCGTTAACTACGTCGTTAATAGGCCATCGGGCCACGCTCACGCCTGTGGACTATGCGTGACCGGGAACTTCAGTCGGAGTTTCACGCAATTGCGTGGAATGTGCGCAGTACTTCCCACAGAATACGGATACGCGCCGGTTTAACAGAATAAACTGCCATCCTTGAAGTACGTCTTTCTCTTAGAGGTGCTGTTTCTCCGTGTCAAACACCTGGCAGAGCAAACATTTCGGAGGAAACAATATAGAAGCCTTATGGTCAAGTGGTCAGCTTGCCTTCCGTTCCCAAGTGGGACCCGGGTTGGAAACTCGGTGACACCACGGCCCCAAAACACCATTTGGACTTTGCAGCCGCTGGTGCCCCAAGAACGGGGCGCAACGACGTGCGTTGCGTCACTTTGAAGCCAGGAAGTAACATCCGAAGAACGTGGTACCTTCATTCTGCTTGCCTGCATGATACGTTATTAAGACAAAAGCAAAAGAAATGAGCGGTGTCGCCGCCGGCGCCAAGACCACTGATGCTGAAACCTGAACAGCTAAACTATTTCAGAGACGCCACATGCTTGAAGAAGCCGTCCAATGTTAACTGGGATGGTTACACGTCTTTCGTTGAGCCTCTGATATCAGCCATCTCCTTTCAACGTAATTCTAATGCGATTCTTAAAACATGGGGGGCAGTTTTACCCAATCCAAAACGACACCGACAAACCTACCAGCGCATTTTATCTACCTTGGACTACATGCAAGACGTACGCTGCTCACAAACGTTTTTCATAACATTCTCAAAGTCGTGGCGAGAGCACAACGTGTTTGAAACGATGCCGAACGCTGCCACACGCTTCTTCTCTCCTATACGTTGTCAACAAGAAACAAAACAAAAATATGGTCGAACTCCTATGCCGATGCACCATAACAGTGCGTGGAATACGTACCCGGCCGTAAACAGCGGACAACGAACATACAATGCTGCTTCGTAAACTACGCTTCACTGTCAAAGACGGTAACAAATCGCTCATCTCCATCAGCAGATGCCATAAGAAACACAGAGAAGGCAACATGGTTAAATATAAATAACGGAAGGTCGCATGATGACGTCACCATCCAGCCGAGTCTCGCCAGAGCGACAGCGGACGAACTGCAGGTTTCGTCCACACTTTTGCCAAAGCGTCCACATTCAGTGGGGTCCAAACGCAGCTGTCCCGATACTGAGACGTCTGCGCTCGGCTGGCTGCCGGCGGACCTGGTGAGCAGAGACGCCGCCAGCGGAGGGGCCCGGAGCGCGGCCACACGCAGGGACAACACACGACACCCGGCTCTCCGGCACGCACAGCGCCACCGGCCGCGTTACACTGGCCGGCGGACAGGCCGCAGCCGAACTGTGGTACGCCGATTCCAGTGCACCGAGGCCTCGGGTCACCACCGCCTGCCGCAGCGATCGGCACCGGCCGGCCGCCGACTACAGCGCACGCAGGTGGGCTCCTGACAGCCGGCCGCCGACTCGAGCCGACTCCAGCGGCACGCAGGTGGGCTCCTGACAGCCGGCGGCCGACTCGAGCCGACTCCAGCGCACGCAGGTGGGCTCCTGACAGCCGGCGGCCGACTCGAGCCGACTCCAGCGCACGCAGGTGGGCTCCTGACAGCCGGCGGCGACTCGAGCCGACTCCAGCGCACGCAGGTGGGCTCCTGACAGCCGGCGGCCGACTCGAGCCGACTCCAGCGCACGCAGGTGGGCTCCTGACAGCCGGCGGCCGACTCGAGCCGACTCCAGCGCACGCAGGTGGGCTCCTGACAGCCGGCGGCCGACTCGAGCCGACTCCAGCGCACGCAGGTGGGCTCTGACAGCCGGCGGCCGACTCGAGCCGACTCCAGCGCACGCAGGTGGGCTCTTGACAGCCGGCGGCCGACTCGAGCCGACTCCAGCGCACGCAGGTGGACTCCTGACAGCCGGCGGCCGACTCGAGCCGACTCCAGCGCACGCAGGTGGGCTCCTGACGGCCGGCGGCCGACTCGAGCCGACTCCAGCGCACGCAGGTGGACTCCTGGCAGCTGGCGACCGACTTAGGCGGCTGTGTCAAAGAAGCTATCGATCATGGCTGAGATTTGCGCCGGCGTGTAGCGCACGTACTTGTCCTTGTTCTTGGAAAACGTCACGCTGCCGTATCTGGGGACGAACGGCATATATCAAAATCAGCACCAGCTCCGCCGTAATTTTTAGCAGGCAGTACTGTAACAGCTTGAATATGGATCTTACGGGCCACCCCACTGTCTCAAACTGTAGCACTTATGAGCACCCGACGACGAGCTGAAGAGATTAGCAATCATATCATTTTTGAGTGTTCTGAAAGAGCGCGAGAATTAAGAGCTTTGCTCCTGGTTGACTAGTTAAAATATACACAGGAGCAAGGGGCAAAACCGTCCCTTTTATCGAAAGGACACGTCCACCTAGAAGTGGCACAAAGGTCAGACTGTCCACCAAAGGCCACATTTTTGGGGAGGGGGAGGCCGCTATGCCCTTGCCGTGTACACACAGAACGGAAAAAGACGCAACCACCCGTTAGATTCTAGGTTTTGTAGCGTATGCGAATGTCGCTTTTCGTACACATTATGCAATATTTTGGGAACTAAGGCGTCATATAGTAAGCACGACACCGCACAGATAGTAAACGCGTCATAAGAACTCATCCCTGCGAATTTCGTTCGTGGGCATATGGTTCAGCCGTGGACCTCACCTGTCGTAAAAGCTGGCGTACTTCGGCAGCACGAACTCCTTGTTGTCACGCTTGAGCGACTCGCGCAGCTGAACGTCGGGTATGGAGTACTCGCGCTGCAGTCGACACAGCTCCTCCATCTCACGGTTAAACGCCTGCGGACAGGCGGCGGCGGCCTGTGCACTGCTGCAACAGCGACGGCTGGCGCGCGCGGCTCAGGGGGCGGCCGCGTTACCGATAGTTGAAGAGCATCGTCGTCAACGCTCACTTCGCGCTCGGATTTCTATAACAAAACGTTCTGCGCATTAACTGGCTTTCACCTAGATCCTACGCGATCCTATTAAACAGCCACGCAGCGGCCGCGCTGCTTAGCTCTCCGCTACGCCCTTTCACCTGTCACTCGTGACGGCTACTCAGGATATTGCAGGACTTGCTGCACAAAGCCAGCCCGCCGTTAAGCCCCTGTGTGGCAGAAGATCCCACGGTAATCTGCGCCGTTTCGCGTTAGAGTCGTATGCAGTATAGACTGTGGAATGAACGTGCCGTGGAGTGGCATGCGGTAGGGGGTAGTACGCGAGGTCGTGTCACGAGGTCGTTCTCTATCACAGTTGTATGGCGACGTGTCAAACTCACGGCAAACTTCTCCTTGATAGCTTGCTTCTCTTTGTCCGAGAGTTTGTCGATGTCCAGACGGAAGGACGGGATGTCCTCGGTAAAAGTCATGGCCTGCAGCACGCGGCTCCAGCTGCCGACACGGAGGTCACGAGGTCAGTCGGAGGTTACGGGGTCAAAGTGGGCCATGAGGTCAGACAGAGTCGAGGGACAAGCCATCCCACTTGCGTGACGCGGTGCCTTTCTGAATGGAGTCTGAAATTGTGTACCTTAGCTGTACTCCAACCCAAATGACACATTTTAACCGACCACTTGCACCCCGCAAACACGCCACAGGATGTCGCTGGGCCTCTCGAGCGCCCCACCTCTGGGAGTAGAGCCGCTTCTGTTCCATTATCAGCGTGCTGTAGGCGCCTTCAGCACCGGGCTCAGAGAGCGAGACCAGCTCGAGCAGGCCCGAGTGCTGCGTACACCGCAGGATGTAGTGGTAGTTGTTCAGCCGGAAGACCGCCCGCAAATACGGGTCACTGTCGGCACGATCAGGTCAGGTCAGCACTGAGAATCTGCGGTCAGGCCATGACACGAAGCTGTGGGCGGACCACATGACACAAGGTCGATTGAGGCGGGGTGATGTCAAGTTACGGCCACTGAAACCAAGGCGGGTCAGACTGACTTCGATCAAGGTCAAATGACTGGTCAGTTGGGTTGTCTTTCATCCATATAGTATACACACAGCACAAACCATTCGTCAAATATCAGAATATCATACCTTCAGTGATTCGCCCGAGAAATATGTTAACGTTCCAAGAAAGGGCATTCGGCGCGGCACAGGGGAGTTAAACGGGGCGTACGTGACGCCTTGGAAGCGAATCCTAACTCAAAAGTGAGTAGTGGCACAAAAGTACCTGCACAAAAGTATCTAACACAAAAATCATCACATCGGAGACCCGGGTTTCAATGCTGCCCGTGACAAAATTTTGACCGATCGCCTCGGTGCGAGGTAGTCACGCTACCCGTCCCGGCATTGGCGTAATAATTGAGAATGGGTGCAGCACGTTGTGAACATTGCAAGCTATGACTTTTGGAGGCTGCGAGCTTGGATGTTATGGACTGCGCCAATGGGTAAAGAAGTGAACGCATTTTGGATGTCATGAACGCTGGATGCTGCGATTTGGGATGACATGAGAACTGGGCGCCACGATCTTGAACGCTTTCATGGTTCCCCGAAATGATCATAAATTGGACTCAACCTATTGGATAATTAATTCCCCATCCATTCAATTCGATATTACAGCGTTATTGGATTTGTCGATCAACAGCCACGGGGCCATACCACGGCGATCCATCGGGGACGACCGCGCCGCCTGTGCAGGTCCCACGAATACACACGCCTGTCATGGACACCAACGTTCACGAGCCAAGACCGTGTGCGGACCCACCTGTACTGTTCGGAGGCGTTCGCCAGGGACTGGCCCAGCGCCGAGAGCACCTTCTTGATGTAGACGCCGAGCAGCGCCTTGTTCTTGTCGACGCGCGACGTGGTGACGATGTCGTAGTTGGCGTGCTGGCACAGCATCCAGCCCACCGTGTCCGTGTATTCCACCTGACACACCAGCCGGTCAGTATCACAGCCAGGGTCGAGGGCACAGCTAGGGGCAGGATCAGAGATACAGCTGGTCAGGTCAGGGTCACTAATGGCCAGATCTCAGAAGTGACAAGTCTGATCAGTGCCCGGGTCGAGGCCACGCCTGGGGCGAGGGTCCGGGCCAGGTCTGATCAGAGCAGAAGTCGGGGACGCGGATGGGGTAAGGGTCCGGATCAGGTCTGATTGGAGCCCAGGCCGGGGCCACGGCCGGGTTAGGGGTCCGAGTCAGGTCTGATCAGAGCCTGGGTCCGGGTCAGGTCTGATCAGAGCCCAGGTCGGAATCACGTCTGGGGTGAGGGTCCAAGTCAGGTCTGAGCAGAACCTGAGTCGGGGACACGGCTGGGTCGAGGGTCCGAGTCAGGTCTGATCAGATCCCAGGTCGAGATCACGGCTGGGGTGAGGGCCCAGGTCAGGTTCAGATTATCGGCAGCGCCCGTGACAACACAAGTAGTCAGTCTGCCCGCCCCTGATCGGCACATGTTGCGCAGGGCATCAAACACAGCCCGACCAGCCAGGCCGCAGGCCAAATCAGACTCATAATGTCTCCTCGGGCGTCATACACTGGCTGGATGATACGCCGAAAACCTCTGGGCAAAGGAAACAGTTTTGCTTAGCAACGACTTACAGTCAGGGTCACTCCCGGCATGGTAACTGTGACATTTATAAACAAAGAAAACAAACGACCAGATAAGAACAGTATCACCAGCACACCGCTGTCCTTCACTGCTGTGAAATGTTTGCTTAGTCAGTCACTGTTGGCAAATGTCGACTTTGTCAGTCACTGCTTCACATGTTAATGCTGCCAGTCAACCCGTTGTCAGACATCATAATTGAAATCTCCTGCCGTCACAGCCCGGCGTCAGCGGTGACGATCGAACATCAGCCGCCGCTGCCGCCCGCCGCGCACCAGCTGGTCGCAGAACATGACGACGTTGGAGGCGCGCTGGTGGACGGTGCCGTCGCGGGGCAGCTGCCGATCCGGGTCGTTCATCACCCACTCCATGAAGTCGTCCAGCGACTTGACGCACTGCGCAGGAGGGACGTCCGGTGAGGCGGAACACACGCCAACAGACAGAGGGGCTGCAGCCGGCTATCCGCAGGCCAGGTTGGTACGCACGGGTGGTGAATCACGACGTCCTCCCGGTGTACCCCACCACGGTACCCAGCCGTGCAGGGCATCCATCTCTCGCTATATAAGACGACTTCTCAGACTGATTACACCTCCCCTGGTCCGTCTGGAATTATGACGATTACATCGGCCACTCCTCATCAGTCTCTCACCGAGGGTACCACAGAAACCAACTCCGCCGCCAGTCGGACTCGACCTCATGACGTCAAGCCGCAGCGCAGATTTCCAGCCAGTTAAGCCGTGCCGATTGCCCTAGCCCTTTTCGAGCCCGGCTCCGACCTGCGTCGGCCCTCACCGTCTGGTGGAGGACGTCCACGATGCCCGAGATGCGGTTGCGCACGGTGGGATCGCAGCCCTGCAGGGTGCGTTCAAAGTCGCCCCGCATCGCCATCAGGTGCGACACCAGCGGGAAGAGGTTGAGCACCGGCGCGAAGTCCTGGCGCGCGATGCTGCGTCGCGCCCGGCCCGCCATCGCCTGCGGGCATCCCCGGTCACCGGGTCAGCCGAGGGCGTCACGTGTGCAGCGCTCACGGGAACACGGTCGGCCGAAGAGGCCAAGTATGCATTGGTTACGGGTCGCAGCGCCGCCTCAGGGGGTCAACTGCGCAGCGGTCTAGGGGAACACGGCAAGATAAAGGGTCAAGTCTTCACTGGCTACGGGCCACAACGTCACCTGAGGGGGTCACGTGTGCGGCGGTCACGGGCCGCCGTGTCAGCTCATAGCTTAGCAGTGCTCGGCCAGTACATGAAACAGCTTTAACACACCGCTGGCGACCTACGGCGTGATGACGCCGAAAATCTGGCGTCGCGTCTCAAGCCATGACCACCCGTTTCCCGTAATCGATGTTTGCTAATACCATAGAAACACACATCAGCACCCGTCTCTGCCATTCTGAACGGTCTCGGGCCTCACAAACGCCCCATTAGCGGTGGTCTACCACAGCTACACCGCAGCCACCGACGGGCGACACCAGGCCGGACCCACCTCCCCGTCGCGGACCACCAGATCCAGCGCGTCCTGAATGATGGCCTGGAAGACGCGCTTCAGCTGGTGCTGCGGCACCAGCGGCGTCAGCTGCGCCAGCTCGTAGCTGAAGAGGCGCAACAGCGCCGACGTCGTGGTCAGGTACGCGTCCACCTCGTGCTCGTCAATCAGGTCTTCCAAGTGATCTGCCGGGGCGAAGGGGCCACGTTATTTTTGGACACTAACTACTGATGTCGTAAGTCACCTCGCACTATGGTGGCAAACGTCTAAGAAAATTCTTGTGGCCGGAATCGGGCCGCGGACCTTCCGATCCAGAGCCAACAACCTGCCCGCTCGGCCACTCACGCCGCTGTCTGGGCGCGGGAGAAGCCAAGTTAACACATGATTATGTGCGAGGACGTCTACAAACAGACCCAAGGAAAAATAAACAACATGCAGGGTCACCTTCAATTCGCCTATTACAGCGCTTTACGCTTATTACGCTGAGCATTGCAGCTGGCCTCGCAGTCCAGGTAACCCCACCCCGGCCTGCTGTGGATGTCACCCCCCCCCCCCCCCCCCCCCCCGGCACTGACCCTGCTGGGTGCGGGATGGAGCGGCGTTCAGCTGCACACCGGCCTGCTATGGGTGTTCCCTGGACACTGACCCTGCTGGGTGCGGGACGGAGCGGTGCTCAGCTGCACACCGGCCTGCTGTGGGTGCCACCCCCTCCCCCGACACTGACCCTGCTGGGTGCGGGATGGAGCGGTGCCCAGCTGCACCCCAGCCTGCGACAGTGACTTGTGCGCCCGCTGCAGCATCCGGTTGGCCTTCTTCTCCAGCCGGCTGGCGATCCTGCGCGGCGCGCGCGGCCGGCCCCCGCCCAGCGGCGTCAGGTCCGCACGCGACCGCGACATCTGTGACAGGCCACCCGGGCCGGTCATCACCCATGACGTCAGGTCCGCACGCGACCGCGACATCTGTGACAGGCTACCCGGGCCGGTCATCACTCATGACGTCATCCTGTTGTCAGTCTAACCCCTGCCAATGCTGGGTCAGGTCACATCGGGACACCTGCAGAGCGACACCGATTCCCAACACGCGGAGACATGCACCTCTTCCGCTTGGTCTGCACCGCTCGAGCTACGAGTCTGTACCGTCACGGAAAGACCGGCTAAACCGTACCGGGTCGTGAGACGTCACAAGCTCAGGGCCAAGGTCCGACGGTCGGCCGCGGCTGGGCCACCGAGGCTGACCGTGTGACTGCGCTACATGTGACCCCGGACTGACCTGGCCGAGACCGGCCGGCGACTGCGTGTCGCTCGACTTGGCGCTGGTGTTGCTGCGGGACTTGTGGTGCTTCTTTAGCGCTTGGATCGTCCTGCCGGCCGGTCCGGGGCAGGGCGGCAGCGGTCACAAGCGGGGTCGTAGCAGGGGGCAGGGGAAGGCGCCAGTCGAGGTCAAGCAGCGTGCGACGCCATGGCAGAGCGGCGACACGGAGCCGGCCCATTTACATAGCCCCTCCCCCCCCCCCCCCCGACGTAATGCGAGACAATGAAATGAACAACCCATCGACCGAAGAAAACGAATTCGTCAGAGCTGATGGGGCGGCCGGCTACTCGGCCGAACCACGTGACCCACCGGACGATGATGCCAGCACGCAGGCGGGCGTACGAGCTCATGTAGGCGTCGCTGTTGTGGCTGGAGAGCCAGTTGGCGATCAGCCGCACGTCCAGCATCACGTTCTCGGGGATGTCGAACACGTAGCTCTCCGACGGCGGTCCTGCCGGCCAGTCGGGCTCGGTTGACGGCCGGGTTGGGCCAGGGCGGCCGCGCCAGCCGCGCGGTCCTGGCGCACGCGCCCCGCCGCTGCGGTCAGGCGGCGCCGCTGTCTCGGCTTCCGGTACCGGGCCGCGGGGTCACGTGAGCGCATGAGGTCGGTCGCACGTGGCCATTGCGCAGAGGGAAGTCCCACGCCCGCCACAGCACGACGCTTCACCGGCCTGGCGTTCGCGATTGCCGCCAGCAGCAGACCGGCCGCGACTCAGCTCTCTTCACGCGCAACACATCCCTGATCCAGGCGGCGAGGCAGTCCTCCACTGCACCTGCCTGTTTGTCGCACATTACTACACATAGCGCCCACCTCTACAGCGGCCAAGCGAGTGCATGGCCGACTTCTGCCAGCACCCAGCGCGGTGTGACAATATTTCACCACTCTGCAGCAGGGGTGTTGATGTCTTTCATACTACTGGACCCCCGGCTCGGCGTTCATGCTTATTGCTCCTCCCCTTGCTCAGGATAGGCCAATTACAGCTCGTGGCCCACTGCCTCTTTGTCCTCCCTCGCTGAGGACTGGCCAATCACATCTTGGGGTTCACTGCCTTTTTCTCCTCCCCTCGCTGAGGATTGGCCAATCAGCATCGAGCCGGACAGCGGTTAACCCGGCATCTAAGCGCCTCGAGCTTGACAAAACGGACGGAAATTTCAGAATGCCAGGGATCAGGGCAGGACAATGGAGCATGAGCAAACCACACGTTGTGCGGGGGGGGGGGCATAATAGGCGTCAGAAGCGTCAGGACAGGACATTATATCACATTCTTGACACCCAACAGGACGGGTTTTGGGCCCTTGACCTTCGACCCGGCCGACCCCTGGCCATACCGAGGTCCTACCTTGACCGTCGTCCTTCTCCAGCAGGTCCAGAACTGCCACCGGCTGCAGCTGTTTGCTGTACTTGGACACCAGGTCGTTGAACTCCTTGTTCAGCAGCTCCATACCTGTACATGATCTCAGCGTGAGGAGGCTCGTGCGGCGTCGAGCACTGGACACGGCATTTCGGACGTGCCATACAATGGCGAAGGGTGCCCGGTAATGAGGCCCACATGCAGCTGGTTGCTCTTCAGCGCATGCCAAGCCATTCCAGCCCCCACGCTCGAGTGAACCGAAGTGACACCGCTCTTTCCTGAGCACCTAGCCATCGCGCCACATAAGTGATGAGCACATAAAGTAAGAAGTATACACAAGAAGCAACACATCAGTTGCTTTCACCACCAGCAGAGTGCAGAGGTACCCCAAAGCCGGTCATGCCAGCGTCCTTGGCCGGTCGTGATACGCAGCTGTCTTCACTTTGCAGCGCTTTCAACCACCTATCATGGACCTTTGCGTCCCAATTTTTCATGGCGACTGCGGCGTAGGACGCATGAGAAAACATTCCACCGCGAGTCCCGAAGTCAACAGCTGGCGGCCATCAGTAATGCGTTGTACTACAGACCGACGCCGTCTGGGTCAACAGGGAAAGATAGCGACTGAGCGAGAAAGTGCCGCAAAGCGGCAATGCCGGATGCAAATGAATCTGCTTTTTTTATGTTCTGCCCCTTAACGTGCTTGTACAAGACACTTGGGGCAAGAGACATTCTGGACACACCACCCGCATTTAACGGTGGTGGTAACGCCGATGAGAACTACTGACATCGATAACGACACTCGTGACAACGGCAGGGTACGGAGAAGGGGAGGGACCGACCCGTGGTGAAGAGCAGCATGACGTTCTCCAGCTCCACCGACTGCGAATTGTTGGACTGGAAGAACGTGAGCGCGTCCTGCAGCCGCGCCATGGCCATCAGGTACGTCTCCGTGTTGGTCGCGGCCGGACCTGCCCGTCAGGTCACGCGTCAGGTCAGCGCGAGGTCAAACCGCGGGTCTGGTCAGGGGTTATATAAACTATCTTGTAATGGGCCAGGACAGTGATCAAGTAAGGGCTGGCTAGGGGACTAGGGACTAGACTGATTGGGGACTAGGTCAAGGTTAGGTTACAGATGAGGCTTCACCAGGGGATCAGCACAAGGGACAGAACAAGCTGGGTCAGTGGTGCAGGTGGGGGTCAGGGAAGCTGTCTGGTGACTGGGGAGCTCACAGACACAACACAAAAGAGGTCAGACTTAGGGCAGGGTTAGTGCTCACATCTTGAGTTAGTGCACAGGTCAGTTCCGGGGTCAGGTCATGGGTCGGGTCAAGGTCGAGGCAGGAGTCAGTCAGATCAGGGGTCAGACCAGGGCTCGGGTCAGGAGTCCGGTCAGGGGTCAGCACATCAGATCATTGGTCTGGTCGCGACCCAAACCAGTAGCAATGACACACCCTCCCACCGCGGGAGCTGAGGTGCGTGGTCGGACACAGCTCCTCGACAGACGCCGTGAGGCGCCAGCGCTGTCGCCGGGCGTCCGCACATGATAAAACGAACCCCAACACGTCACAAAACATTTGCACACTGCCAACTGTTACCATTGCGGATGATCGGGTCCACTTCTTTGCTGACGTTGTAGTACGATATGACGTGATCGAAACGACTCAGCGTTTTCTCAACGTCTGAAACAGGACAACAGCTACATCCGCACGCGTTGATAGGTCTGTCGGTTAGAGCGTCGCCTCTCGATTCAATGACGGGGCGAGTGATAGTCGCTTTAGGCGCTCGCTATTGGCCCGTGAGTGGTAGGGCCTCTGGCAGGTGGCAGCCCCACCCTGAAGGTAAGGTGGAGGAAGTGACAGGACAGACCATACCAAACATCGCGAAATGCTCGACTTTCGCCGTAAGATTCCGTCCTTGGCACGGAATTTCATAACTAAATGGTGGGGATCGAACGCGACAGCCAATGCTTAGCGTCAACTTTGATCTCAGAAATTCATTCAATCAAAGGGTTCGTATTATTATATAATGCGCTTACTACCATCGGCCACGCGCTGTGTTGGCGCAACAAGCACCGCGTCAGCGCTGATTCTAGAAGTCCATCCAGCTAAAACGTCCAAACTATTTCTTTTTAAAAATAAAAAACATGCCCATTCATGCAGGAAAGGAGCCATCTTTTAAGACGATTCCCATGATTACCTTATAAAAATGACACAAACTTAATAAAGACAACACCAAAGTGGATCCATACTGTTGAATTAGAAGCGAGGATATTCCTGTAAACATACCTATATAACACCATAAAAGAAAGCCACCTGTCAGTGCAAGCCAAATTCAATTTCACGACAGCGATCCCATTTGATGTACTAAATTAAATGCATTTCCCAAACACACCTTTTGTGCACATATGTCAATGTCATGGCTGTACAGCATCACAATCCCCCACACGCACATACAAACGCAGGGCATCCTCGGATGTCCCCTCTGCAACCTGTCCTGTCCTGTCCTGTCCTGTCCTGTCCTGCCCTGCCCTACCCTGCCCTGCCCTGCCCTGCCCTATCTTGCCCTGCCCTGCCCCCCACCCCAGACAGCGCCACCTACTCTGCTTGCGTCGCTGCAGGTTGCCCGTCTCGTGGTAGACGGGCAGCACGGTCTGCTCGAGGCTGGCCAGCCGCCGCTCGAACGAGTCCAGAATGCCGGTCATGCCCTGCGTCAGCTGGTCGCTGGCACGCAGCACCTCACGCACCTTCTCCATCCGCTCCAGCTCCTGACGGCGGCCACGAGCGTGGCGTGGTGACGCGGCGACGCGGAGACACCAGCACTTCCCAGCGGGTCATTAGACGGTATGGTGAGGCCGTGACATGGTGACAGAATGATCAACAGAGGTACCTGCTTTGTTGTGACATTGTAAATGATGGAAAAATGTCCAACACATGCACTCCATTGTACACAAACCCTGCCATTCACAGAGGCACCAATCCACATCACATCTATGAAAATGCCTTTGGTAAAAGGATTTCTGGAATAAGTTCATAGAGCTCAAAGACCTGAATAGCACCATTGCTTTATTGGAAAAAAACATACTGCCACATTGTTCCATGGGCAACAAGATGCCACAGTGTAGGCTGGCTGTTGTCCAATCTCGCAGCAGCATATTCTGGATATGTCCACAGATGGGGTGAGCTCTATGTAAGGCATAGGATTTTCCCAACAAAGATGGGGGATCCACAATGAGCAGTTGTATTATGGCCTTGCACAACACTGATAGCATTTGATTTCAGAGGTTGGAGCATTTCAGGAAAACTGTCCAGCTACCAAACCAGAATAGAGCTTACAAATTCAGCCATTTGGACAGAGTATAGTCTATGCTTGACAAGAGCTTGGATCACAATGCTCAACCAAGTGCCTCATGTATCAAACTTAATAAACAAACATAATATTTATAGAGAAATCAAGAAGCTCCTTTACAGGAGGGCTCATGTGAAATATTGAAACACAATGTTGCTATTTAATTCTTATTTAATAATGAATTGGCTGAAACATCTGAAACATCTGACAGAAAGACAAATGTAGAAAGAGCACAGGCACAATGCAGAGTGCCCACAATTGGGTGTGCATGCACCCCTAATGCTGAATAGCACCTTTCCTGTATGGGAAAAAAACATACTGCCACATTGTTCCATGGGCAACAAGATGCCACAGTGTAGGCTGGCTGTTGTCCAATCTCGCAGCAGCATATTCTGGATATGTCCACAGATGGGGTGAGCTCTATGTAAGGCATAGGATTTTCCCAACAAAGATGGGGGATCCACAATGAGCAGTTGTATTATGGCCTTGCACAACACTGATAGCATTTGATTTCAGAGGCTGGAGCATTTCAGGAAAACTGTCCAGCTACCAAACCAGAATAGAGCTTACAAATTCAGCCATTTGGACAGAGTATAGTCTATGCTTGACAAGAGCTTGGATCACAATGCTCAACCAAGTGCCTCATGTATCAAACTTAATAAACAAACATAATATTTATAGAGAAATCAAGAAGCTCCTTTACAGGAGGGCTCATGTGAAATATTGAAACACAATGTTGCTATTTAATTCTTATTTAATAATGAATTGGCTGAAACACAGGAACATCTGACAGAAAGACAAATGTAGAAAGAGCACAGGCACAATGCAGAGTGCCCACAATTGGGTGTGCATGCACCCCTAATGCTAACTGTTTCATGTTTGGAAAGGATGTCTTACAATGAAAAAAAGGTGAGACTACCAAATCTGAATGTTGTTCACATTCTTCCTATGGAAAAGGTGAGTAAAAAGTAAGCAATGTCTTTTATAGGCTAATACTGAAGCTGCAATGTAAAAATTATGCTCCCACAAGTTCAATCCTCATAACAGCTAGAACTGTAAATCTTGCAGCTCTTATAAATCCATACCATGTCAATGCAATGACAGAACAAAACTGTGCGGCCATGCTTTTCATTAAAAGAGTTGTGGATGTAACATATTGAGCATTCTCCCCCAACCACACAAACCTTTTGCAGTTTGACTGCATGGAGATTGGCTGATATTGCTGTCTCTGATGTCTCCATCATTGCCACAATTTCTGGTGAGCTTCAGAAATACAATCTGCAATAAATGGGCAAATGTGACTTCACACTTAACCTCACCTGTGATGATAACAGGAAGTCAACGTTTTCATTACATGATGGGAAATTGACATGGATGAAATTGACATGGATGATTTGCTTGAGAACTGGGTGGGCACTGTCTAGTGCCCTGTTGGTGGGACACTTATAAGTGACAAGGCTACCTGACAAAAATAAATGAGTCAAGCAGCCTGAATACCAGGGGAACCAACAGACCTGGCTACTGGCTATTGACTGCAAACATCACTGCAGTCCCTCTAGCTTTTTGAATGAGCTTTTGTGCATGCACATCCACATATTAGCTTGCATAGTTGAATTTTGAGCAAATTTCAGATTCTGTCAGGTGCAAGTCCATTGGTCTATACTGATATCCCGGTTAATTTGAAATTTGTTCATCAGATGAATTTTGATTATATTCTATTCCCTTTTGGTCCCAAATATATGGGACTTTCAGCACAAGGAAGCTTCAATGATAAAACTGCTTAGGTACACAAATAGAAAAACTACTGAAGAATAAAAATGCATTAACTGATAGCTGTCTGTGACTGGCCCCAATGGGCATGCCCTACAGAGCCAGATAAGTACACCATTACATGCACTCCCCCACATCATTTAGATTTTGTAAGCATATCACCATAAGTGACCATCCAAGAACAATGCTTTGAGAAGTTCAGAGTTCTATAGCCAAAAAGGGTTCCCAGCCAAAGATCTATATTATGCAAGTAACACAATTAAGCTTCAAGGAGTTACCTTTGTCCTGTGAATTACTGGGCACAGATGTTTGGTAACTATGTTCCATCCATGTCTTTATTGTTATATGCAATGTGACATAGTCCTATAAATTATGACCAAAATACCTCAAAGAAATTCATTTGGACCTCGCCCCAACAACCAGGCTGGGTTGATGCAACGCCCACTGCCGCGTAAAAATGATTCGCCTATCTAAATCCTCCTGGAATAAGTGGGCATTCGGCCCAAGGTTGTGTCCTCCCTAGAAACGAACCTAGGTATTAAACACCAATGTGTGTGCTTACAATACCATATACATATCGCCCCATCGCCCACCCAACCCACACCACCTCTGCGTTGACTCCTCTGACTCCACCCAGCCTTGCTTGTGCATGGATTGAGATGAACAACATTGGTTCGTCACAGTTGCGCCAGTGATGATACGAAGTTGTAATGGACAAAATTACAAATAGGTCATCAATTTAAGCTAATTAAATGCTTTGTGAAGCAGCAGTCAGGAAGATGGCGTCACAGATGATTTCCACAATACCAGACATGCATTGTCAGCGTATAGCACACGCACAATAACCGTTTGAACCGACTCGTGAACGTGCCCGGCTGACGGACACGGTATAGATTGTCTTGATTTATAGGGATGCAGGATTATCGCTCTCTTAAATTGGTTGGTGAGAGCCGATAAACTTGAACTGGCCTTCCCGAAAGCTTATTTATTCCCGGATTCCGATTCCTTTAATCTGCGTCTCGAAGTCGACTTCATCTTCAGATAAAAATGTTCAGTGCATTCTACTTTTTGTCATGCCGAGGGTTCCGTGCCCATGTTTGAAACCGATGTGAAGCTGCATTTTCAACAATAGCTTAGAATATGATGCATTCAAAGAACAAAATCTTAGAAAGCCGACCGGCTGTGATTGACGTAAGTAGGTGTCGTGTTTCGTGCATAAATGTTGGCCCCAGATGTAAAAAGGCGGTTTTATACAGAATGACATGACCTGACATGTTCACGTGAGAGGCTATCAAAATACGCATACACTGTCAGGATGAACCTGGCTGTATGCCGCTGAAAATGGGCTGCGCGCCGTTCTCAATAGAAATAAAGGTAATTGAAAAACAAAGAAGGTTAAGGCTGATGACTGCACGGCCACCCGAAACTTGAAGAGGTAGCGCACCCAACGTTTTGACCCGTGTTAAAAGTAAGTTCAACGAGAAAGGTCTTGAATTCCTGGTGTTTTGACGCAATGAGGAGGGAGTTTTAAGGTTAAAAAATCGACCTTCATTATAACAGGAGGTTGCGGTTGACGACGTTATAGATAAGACATTTGCTGTACTGAGAAAGCCCGGGGCTTGGAAGCTGAGCTGATGGTCACATTTCTTCGGAAAAAGGTCGACACCATGCCATTATTTCTTACGCTCTGGGGCACACCGCACAAGATGTAATTACATTGCTCGACACCATTTTTTGCTACAAACCAGGCGGAAGATGTACGGCCGCAACGAGACCACTTCAGGCGATCGAGGGACATCCCTGAATGGGATGTCCCACGGCCGTTGGCACAGACCGCTTCAGGCGATCGAGGGACATCCCTGACTGGGATGTCCCACGGCCGTTGGCACAGACCACTTCAGGCGATCGAGGGACATCCCTGACTGGGATGGCCCGCGGCCGTTGGCACAGACCACTTCAGGCGATCGAGGGACATCCCAGTCAAGGATGGCCCGCGGCCGTTGGCACCGACCACTTCAGGCGATCGAGAGACAAACCTGACTGGGATGGCCCGCGGCCGTTGGCACAGACCGCTTCAGGCGATCGAGGGGCATCCCTGACTGGGGTGGCCCGCGGCCGTTGGCACAGACCACTTCAGGCGATCGAGGGACATCCCTGACTGGGATGTCTCACGGCCGTTGGCACAGACCGCTTCAGGCGATCGAGGGACACCCCTGACTGGGATGGCCCGCGGCTGGTGGCTCAGACCGCTTCAGACGATCGGGGGACACCCCTGACTGGGATGGCCCGCGGCCGGTGGCAGAGGCCGCGCTGACGGCGAGCTGACGCGACAGAGCAGGGTGTGCCGTGCCGTGCATTGCGACACACTATGCTTTTCCCTGCAACATGCGGCCGTTCACAAGGCATTTTACGACCAGATAGAGAGGACAGGGCTTTCGCCACAAGTCGTACTTCGTGTGGACGCTCATTCCAGAAATACATACAATCAAAAGGCTAGGAATAAATCTTTTAAAATGATATGACTGCCTCCACCATGACGCATTACAATTCGGTACACACCAGGTCTGTACTTAAAGACCAGACGAGAACAATAGCCCAACAATTAATCTCCGCGTGGTACAAAATCCTGGTATTTATTAGCGGCGCTGCCGGCACCAGGTAGTTTTGTGGTGTCTTGCTTGGGCCTTGCGAGTTTCGCGTGTAACCATCACCGGCATTCAGGCTTTCGATGACTTAATGCGGGTCCAAATGCTCTGACATGAGCAAAGTGCCATAAATACCGTGCAGGCAGGTATCACCCCATTAGTCCGTCTAGGACTGATTCGGTACCAGCTGTCGTTAGGCGCCGTTGCGCCGAAAATCTTGCAAACCCGTTAGCCACATGTGGACGTTAGAATGACCACAATTTCAGCCGAATGAAAAGCTGTGGTGCTTAAGTGCTGAAATCACCACGCCGAGTCTAAATGCTGAAAACACGGGTGCTGGAAAGCTTAGCTTATTCTTTTTTCGTCAGCAACGCATTTCAGTGCGTTGATTTCATTGCGTTTTGGGCAATGGGCCATATGTTAGGAGAGAAGGACACAACTCTATTCAATTTCCCGGTCCGGACAAAATCCGTAAGAGACAGATGGTAAAAATGGGTCATTAGACCGGAAACTGTCACGGTTCTAGAAAGTGCGAGGCATGAAATAGCCGGTGTACATACCACACGACAGGCATGTCAAGATAAGCTATCTTCGCCACGCAACTTTAGCTGTTACTTGCGACACAACCACGCGTAACGGTACACACATCGTGACAAGGAAAATATGCAGCCAGCTGGGGTTATCCAGATCATCGTATGTCTTCAAACCACAAAACACCATCTTCTGCTTCTTCCTGCACTGGTGCACACTAACTCCCCCCCCGCGTGTTCGACTGCCCGAGCCAAAACTGGAACACTGCACTGCCGCTATGCAAAAATTTGAGAAAATTAGAATGGTAGCTATGTCTTAATGAATTCGCCTTCCAGGGAATCTGTAATTAAAGCTGCGATTTCATTGGTTCATTGGCAATGGAATCTCAGTTATTTCGTTTTCAAAGGGGGTTTTGCACAATTCCACGTTCACCACCGAAAGTTGTTTTGGTCACCGGAGTGGTTAAAATTGGCATGTGGATTCTCACCATCAGGTCCAGCGCGCATCCAGGCGCACACTCGCGGACGTAACAGATCGAATAGTCCATGTGCAGAGGCGATGGGTCACCGTTCAATGGCAGAAGGCATCCGGGCTGGGTCGTCGCTCCGAACGCAGAAAATCAAACAACCGCGTAACAACCGGACTGACCAACCGAGCCGCAGGCAAAATATCAAATCGGCCTTCTGGTAGTCGACTTTCATTCAATGGATGGGTTGAACTGGCTCGGGCGATCCAGCCGAAATGAGAAGTCTAAACGACGACAATGACAAGTTCGCGGATGTTGCGCAAGAGCAATCTGTCTCGCCGACCAGGACGGATGACAGCTGTTGACGAGGTGTCCGGTTGAATGATTGGCGGAGTTTCTGTCTACATTTTCGAGTTCTGTGATCCCGAAGGAATCGTATGTGTGATGTCATGGATGCTTTGTTGGTTGTTTGTAGGATGGTCAGCAATGTATCGGCTGAGTTTGATTACCAGGGTTTTGAAAAAAGTTCATATGGAAAAGTAATTATGCATTGAGCACGTAAACAATGCTCGTGAGCTTATGTACGTCAGGTATGAAGTTCGCATGTCAGGAGCACTTACGTAAAGGCTCATATGGCAGGAGTACGTATGTAAAAGTTTGTATGGCAGAAGCATATGTGAAAATATTATGTATATATATATATATATATATATATAACATATAGTTTTCCATAGGTTGTGTGCAAAAGTTGATAAGCATATTATTGTATGTTATTAAATACGCACGTAAGGTATTGATATTAAGAAGACTGCCAGGAGGAAAAAAGACTGAAGCATCGCACATGCCCATAAACAACTGTATGTAGTAAAGGTCCGTAATGGATAAAATTATCCCCACAAAAGCGCATATTTACAAGTTTGTAAGCACAGGTAATAAAGTAGCAAGTGTGTACAAATATTACTTCTATAAGGAGGGTCCACAGACGGATCGACCATCCGGGTACCAAATGACATACCGTGAGTTCTCAGATTTAGCTATAAAATGATCTCTACGAGATGACTTAAGGCACAGGTTTCACTGCGTAATTTCTAGCTCTATACGGCGTGTATTTAAAAGTGATGGCCTCTGGGCAATATTTGGTCGGTTGCAGACGGAGTCCTAACCACAGCGGGAAAATTTAATCAGGTAAAGCAAGCGCCTTGTCCTACCTAGATCATGGCTAACTTTACATAAGGGATCGTTTCCTATGTGTCACGCTGTTGCCCGTCGTATTCCACAATGGAGCTGACACCCGCCGCGACCGTCAGCTGGCGTCAGTGGCGTGGTCAGCTGGCGTCAGGGGCGAGGTCAGGCGGCGGCAGGCGGAGTGCTCAGCAGAGGCGTCGTCAGGGTGAGAGGTAGAATGAAAGCATGTTTTTGCTTTTTAACACGCGCCCAGCTGGCCAGTTGAATACCACTCCCTCAGGTGTGGGGGGGGGGGGGGGGGGGGGGGGGGGGCGAGGGAGGCACACTAACACACCGAGATCTCAGACACTAAGAAAGCTGGAGACACTAATTTTACAGGGTGTATTTATTTTTACGTAAACTTACTTGGGTCAAAATTTGAGGGTTTTAAGTAATGGTCTTCGGGTCAATTGAGATCAAACAGGTTAAACTCTAGATCTGTGCTGAAAGTGATAAAAAAGCCTTTGGAAGAGGCGAAATTGTCCCCCCCCAGAGCACATGCTAAGCTTCGAATAGCCCTGGTAGGGAGAAATTTAACACCACAATTATCCATAACAGAATTCCCTTGCTTATAAGCAGCAAACCGCCGTTGTACCATACTTACGTATTTTTAAACACTTTTTAACACCCGCGCGAGCAACCGGTTACTTACCACGCGCTCCGGCGCGGGCGGGAGGTGGGGGCCAATTGGACCCCAGTGATCTAAGAATAAAACGAGC